CAGGATTTAAGAAATCGTCGTAAATGTAAATACACTACTCCGAAATTACACAAACTTCCTTCCGAGAAGCATACTTTACCTATGATGCGTATGTACGCTCGTTCTTCCCAATATTTTCTTTCGGCTAGTTCTGCTCCCTGAAGTGTAGATTTGTCTTTTCCTAGAATACCAGCAGCTTCGAAGTTGAGCAAGACGATGGCCGGCATTGTGGTATTAATATGTGCATTATCGCGACGCTTTGAAGGGGTCTAGTATTGATTTAGATGTTTACATAGAATATGACATGACGCAATATTTCGCTAAAAAGTGAACTACTTACCATTAGTTTTGTTCCTTGACCAGTAAGTAGATCTTTGGCCTCTGGAAATCCTTTTTCGTTGAATAGTGCCAATGGAACATCGTCAATCACGATATAATAGGCCTTATCATCATAGGATTCCCGCGAGAACCAACCACGAAAATAGTTTGCATGAGCCGGAAGACTAAGTGCAAACGTTGTTTTACCTGTGTAATTTTGTATTTGTGAAAAATAAAATAAAAAGTGATCTTATCGTCAATGTTTTAATGAATTCAATTTTACCTACCGATACCGCTTCGAGCAATTAAAATAAGAGCTTGCGATCGTCTTTCTGGGTGCATGAACTCCTCGACTATCCAGTTAGTCACGTCGTTTTCTAATGTATATGACAATAATGGAGAAAGAAAAACAGCAACATAATGAACACGAAAGGTTAAAATTCCTACTGAGTTTGAACGTGCAATCAGGAAATGTATCTGGCCACAAATGTTCTTTGTTGAATTGGCGATCTCTTTGCATTACGACATCTGTTAGATGCCGATATAGTTGGAGGTTTGGTTCATATCTATTCATTAGAAAGAAAGCAAAAATCAATTTTATATTCCGTATTTTTCTACAGCAATTTAAAAACCATGGAAATTAATTCAAAACATTGATATCTACATAAAGTGATCAATAAGTTCTACAAACAACTGTGTGAAATTTCATCCGTATTGCTTTCTTCCTGATTTTCGCCTTTTCTAGTAGTGACTTCACTTATATGTTAAAACGTGACTTTGACATTTCATAAATTTTTATTAGGGCAAAACGTCGAAGGAATTTTTTTTTCACAGCTGTCTATGCAAATACACGATTAGTTTATGTGTTCATGGTGAGAAACATGTACATACTGAGGTTTAGAACTTCATCTGTTCATGATGAATTAAATTTTGTTACCGGAAAAGATACAGTTTCCTATTGTAAACCCCTCCCCATAATAGAAGCCTCTCCCATATTAGAAGCCCCCCTTGAAGGGGTCTCTCCAGCAAAATTTTCAGTTTTGCCCAGCAAAACCCGGCCAAAGTTTGTAGGGTCTAATAGAAGCCCCCCGGGGGCTTCTAATATGGGGAGGGGTTTAGTTGTATGGGTTTTAAAAGATTCGACAGTATCAATAGTGATGGCGAAATCAGTAAAGTATTGTCAAAATTTTGTTTTATGAACGATGGTCAATTGTAATAATTGAGTCAATGACGACGAGTGTGACGATGGTGACTGTCATCGAGTAAATATTCGAGATGTCGACAGTCGAAATATGACCCTGTGATACTATTCTTATTTTTATTGAATCGCTTTCGGATTAAGACAGGACATTGTCGGCTAAAATAATAAAGAACTAAAATGGTACCACAGTACAAGACTTCACTTTGAGATAGTGGTGCGAAGTGACTGTTCTCAGACCGCCACCTAGATAACGTGTAACTATTTCCAAACCGTCACCCGGGAACAGGAACGGATCGTTACCAGATACCTGGGAACGGGGAAAACGGTGAACTATCCACTCACCGTTACCAACCACACATCCAGGGTCCTCAAGTTCTACTATTGGTGCACAGGTGGAAGATTCCGGCCACCAGATCCCGTAGAATCCTATAGAAAAGATGCTGCAAAAAAAGTTACCGCATCCTACAGGAAAACACTCGAAGTCGCCGAAACAGGGTGACAGTATTCCGATCGGAGAATTTTTGCATATTTTCCGACGACTTCTGTACAACTTTCTGTAGGAAACGTGAGGAATTTGACCGTAAGTCGAGAGGAAAATTCAAAAAAATTTTCCGGTCGGAATACTACCATCCTGTTCCGACCACTTTCGGTGTTTTCCTACTGGAATCCGCTCGAACTTCTTGACTGGGGTGGATACTCTAGAATCCGCAAGTGCTACTATTGGAGGAAACCTTTCGGCCTTAAAGTACAAGTGTAGGGGAATATTCTTGGCCTACCCGGTGAAAGGGTTGCAGGATGTAGGTGTGGGTATGGGTGTGGGGTGTGGGTGGTGTGGGTGTGGGTGGGTGTACACTGTGAACAAAATTCGTAGAATAATAAACCCTAGTACTTTAGGAAAATCTTCCTAAACCCTTAAAGGGTTTATGCGGGTGTGTTAAACCTTTAAAGGGTTTTTGTGCGAAAGGGTTTCGTAGGAAAAGGGTATTTAAAAATAAAAAGGGTTTATAACTAGCGAAAAAGGGTTTATTGTTCTACACTTTCATGAAAAGGGTTTATTATTCTACGGCTAAGGATTTATTGTTCTACTCTTGCATGAAAAGGGTTTATCATTCTACACTGTAAAAAAAAACGTAGAATATTAAACCCTAGTACTAGAGGAAAAATTTCCTACACCCTTAAAGGGTTTATGTTTTTGTCAGAAACCCTGAAAGGGTTTATTACCCGAAGGAACTATTAAACGAAGGGTATTTTAAAATAATAAGGGTTCATTCTACCAGAATTTAAGGAGAAGGGTTAATTAATCTACGATGGAGGGTTTATTCTTCTACCCTTCCACTCAAAGGTTTTATTATTCTACGGTGAAGGGTTTATCATTTTACCGTTCCATAAAAGGGTTTTTATGTTGTGTTTGACACTTTTAGTCTAGTTCGAGATGTGGGTGTCGGTGTGGGTGTGTGGGTGTGGGTGTGGGTGTGGGGTGTGGGTGTGGGTGTGGGTGT